TCAGATCGTGTGTCCACGTCTAATAAAGTAAACATGGAAACTGCAAGGTCATCCATTTGACTTTTACCATTTGCCTATCATGGGCTCAGTTATTTATCTACAAAATAGGGAGATTGAAATTTGATGTCTAAAGTTCCATGACTCCATGAATTTTGGTTTAAAAGTACAATAGTATGACTTTAGTGTTTTGATTTGTATTTTTGTTTAAGTATTGTTTTAAAGTCATATTCTTTTAATTTTGTGTCTCTGAGAAGTCTAATTTTTGACTCATCGTGGTTGAGAAATCTCAAAATTAGTCAAAAATATACTGGAGAGAGGGAGAGGTATCCCAAATAACCTGAGATATAAACTTGCACAGCTCAAAATAAAATGAACCAAGAAATAATATTCAGCCCTTCAAAAAAATACATCCATAAACAAATGCTGAAGTCTTAGAATGCCATTTTCTCTAAGAATATAAGCAATTCTCCTCCCCAAAATAATGTAAGTTTAAGGATTGAGAACTTCAATAGTAATCTCTAACCTATTTCTCTATGGTTTAAACAAATAAAGACAAAGAAGAAGAAAACACTAGCTTACCTATTTTTGATGAGTCTTAGCTCCTTTTGTTTACTCCACTTTCCTTTCTTCTCTTGGGTTATACTTTGGGCCCACCAAAGAGATTTTTCCACCATGTAAGTTGGCAAATCTGTGGTTTAATTCCCAATTCTGCCAGTGGGTAATATGGTTTACATGTGGAGGAGAAGGTGGTGAGAGGGAGATTTCTAAAACGAGTCTTGTCACTTAGCTAATACATTATGTAATAGAAAAGATATAAAGAAATTATTCATTGGCTTGCTGGTTTGAGAATAATTCAAGTCCCTGCATAGAACTTCAGTTAACTGGTGGAATTATCTTTACCTACAGTTGTATTTCAGTTGGATTTTTTTCTTATCGAATTCAAAAGAAAATACAACCTTCCATTCAAGAAGAAAGAAGAAAACACTGTTCTTGTTTTCTATACATTTTGACACTGTTTTCATTTTTTTGACAGAAATTCGTGGGAATAGCATAGATAGCCTTTTTGTGCATGCACCAAACTCGAATCCCATATAGCAAAAGGTTCAATTTAAATTGGGCCACAAATAGAAAATGAAAACAGTGCAAGTGAATATAACTCTTTATAAAAGCTGAGTTTTCCCTAGGACTCATGTATGCCCTGCATTAACTCCAGAAATCAGCAGTATCACAGAGTCATTAATCTTAGAGGGAGAAATACAAACCAGGTGGGTAGACTCCTAACATCAGCTAGACCATCCCCTGCAAAGGATGGCTAATTAGCTGCCCTGAGTGTCTGCACCCTGTTTGACATTAACTCTGGCTCCTGCCAAATTCAGTTCCAGAACAAAGAATGGTTAGTTGGGACATTTCAGGTTTTTAGTATATTTGTGTTACCAATTTAAAACATTTCAAAGATGAGAAGAAAATTCTAGAATTTTGAGGGCAGAGAGCCATTTATTATATATGACACCCATATGCCTCTTTCCTAGAAGATGCAACACAGGGCATTGCCAGGGGCTCCTACTTTCTCAAGTTAGACCTCATTACAATCATTTCCTCCTAGGCTTTTCCTAAGAGCAAGAACAACTCAATAAATGTTCATTATATGTCAGACACTTTACCGTCATTATTTCTAGTCATCCTTATAAAGACGTTATAAGGAAGGTCCCATCATCATGCTTATTTTACATATAAGAAAACTGGGACACATCATGTAAATTGCCCATGTCCTCAATTAGTAAGTGGTATGATGACAACCTAAGCTTAGGTCAGATGGCTGTAACTCCTCCCTCTCAATGAAAACAGCTTTAATAAGCAATTAATCTAAGAAAATATTGGAATTAACTCACAAACTTAAGTAAAAGAAGACAACTCTATTTAGTTTTCATTTCATTAAAATCTAAACACAGCCATTCAGAATAACCTTGTGAAAAGCACAAATGCAATAAGCTGGACTTGATTAAAATTAAGAACTTCAGCTTTGTGAAAGACAATGTCAAGAGACTTAGAGGATGAGCCACAGACTGGGAGAAGATATTTGCAAAAGATACATCTGATAAAAGACTGTTATCTAAAATATACAAGACTCCTTAAAATTTGACAATAAGAAAGCAAACAACCCAATTAAAAAATGGGCCAAAGACCTTAACAGACACCTTACCAATGAAGATATACAGATTAAAATATACATATAAAAAGATGCTCCACATCTTATGACATGCAAATTAAAATCAGTGAAATACAAATTAAAACAAGAAAATACCATAATGCACTATTAAAATGGCTAAAATTTGGAACACTAACAACAATAAATGCTGTCAAGGATGTGCCTCAAGAGGAACTTTTATTCATTGCTGGTTGGAATGCAAAGTGGTACAGCCACCTAGGAAGATAGTTTGGTGATTTCTTACAAAAGGAAACACATTCTTACTATATAATTCAGCAACCATCATCCTTGGTATTTAGCCAAAGGACTTAAAAACATAAGTTCACAAAAAAACCCACGCAGATTATTTATAGCATCTTTATTATAATTGCCAAAACATGGAAGCAACCAAAATGCCCTTCAGTCAATGAATGCATAAATAAACTGTGACACATTCAGACAACGAAATATTATTCAGAACCAAAAATAAATGAGCTATCAAGCCATGGAAAGACATGGAAAAAACATAAATGCACATTACTGAGTGAAAGAAGCTAATCCACAACAGCTACATAGTGTATAATTCCAACTACATGACATTCTGGAAAAGGCAAAACATGGATACAATAAAAAGATCAATAGCTGCCAGGAGCTGGGTGAGGGGAGAAATGAATAGGCAGAGCACAGTGGAGTTTAGGGCAATGAAAACAGTCTGTATGATATATAATGATGGATACATGTCATTATACATTTGTCCAAACCTACAGAATGCACAAGACCGAGTGAACCCTAAGGTAAACTATGAACTTTGGGTGATGATGTGTCAATGTGGGCTCATCAATTGAAACAAATGTACCACTCTGGTGGGGGATGTTGATAATGCGGAAGGCTGTATACTTCATGTGGGGCATGAGGTATGCTAGAAATCTCTGCACCTTCTGCTCAGTTTTGCTGCAAACATGAAACTGCTCTAAAAAAATAAGGTCCTATAAAACACACACACACACAAATGCTACACTCAGTTGTCATACTCCTTTCAAACCAACACCCCTTGGTCTGGATAACTGTAAAACCAGCTGGACTATTTTGACTGAATTGACCTAACACTTAAGTTTATTTTTTTAAATACATTAAATGTAATAAATAAACTAATTAAGAAGAAGAGAAAAGTTCAACTGCATGTTTACATCAGTTGATTAGTTCTTGAACTAAACTGACAGGTTATTTGAATTGTTAGACAAACTTCTTTGTATGGTGAGGGTGCAAGACTGTGTGTTTCATAAAACTCACCTGTCAATGCAGTCAAAACTGTGTGTGGTGTAAACACAACTTACAAAGTGTTCTGAGAACTGATTAGTCAAAATTTCTTTTAAATTCACTGAGTTCCAGAAGTGCCATATAAATATAAATTATAATTTTACTTATTTATTTACTTCATATTTTTCCCTTTTCTGGAGGACTTGAAGTGTTTTTTGCAATTCACAATACCATGAAAAATTAATCACTTAGGGCTAAACCAAAATAGTTTATGTCTAGCAGTGGTTCTCCAAGAGTCGTCCCCAACCAGCAGTATGAGCATCTCCTGGGAAGTTGGTAGAAATGCATATTCTTAACCCACCACAGACTTACCAAATTAGAAACTCTGGGGATGGTGCCCAGCAATCTGTGCTTTAATGAACCATTCAGAGGTTTCTGATACTCACTCAAGATGGAGAATCGTTACCTTAAAGAAACCAAAAGAGGGGACACCACCAGATGCCTCAATAAACCCTTAACTTCCAATGAGTACAGTAGTGCCTCCTTTATCTAGGTTTCGCTTTCCGCCAATTCAGTTACCCATGGTCAACAGCAATCCAAAAATATTGAATGGAAAATTCTATTAATAAACAATTCATAAGTTTTTAATTGTGCACCATTCTGAGTAATATGATGAAGTCTCATACTGTCCCTGTCCATCCCACCCGGGATGTCTATAGGCTCCCATTCATTAGTCACCTGGTAGGCATCTCAGTTATCAGATCAGTTACCAGGGAAGCGGACCATATTCACATAACTTTTATTACAGTATATTATTATTATTATTATTAGTTATTATTGTTAATCTATTATGGTGCTAATTTATAAATTAAACTTTATCATAGGTATGAATGTATAGGAAAAAACATAGTATGTATAGCGTTCAGTACTATTCTCGGTTTGGGAATCCACTGGGGTTCTTGGAACACATTCCCTGAGGATGAAGGGGCCAGGGATGACTCTACTGAACAAGAGATATTAGGAACTTTCTATTGTACTTAAATTAATATTATGTGTCCTAAATAAAGTTATTTTGTGTGTTTTTCATTCCTTCTCTTAATGTTTGGCAGTTCAAGCATTGACGTTAGGTCAGACAAAACCACCAAATAGTCAGTGGCAGGCTGATAAAGATGGATCACCATATGGCAATTTAATTAAAACTAGAAAAGTACCCAAAACCCATAATGGTCAGTTAGTTACACTAGTCATCTTTACAGATAAATTGATCAACAATGCCATGAGTTAACAATTTACTTGGGAATTGGCTATGACAACTCAAAGCACTTAAATCCACTAAATGTAAATTATTTTTTTCATGTAAAACAATGCCAGATTAGCCTTATAAGATCGAGAGGGTTGTTTCAGCCAAATAACATGTCCCTTAAGAAGAAAGGAGTGACATATCCCTGTCATCCCTGACTACAGGTGTCAGGTCACTGTCTGAGAAGTATTGAGAGACTGACATAGAATTTCCCAGGGGAGCATGCAATAGTGACGAGCATTTCTCCTTATACTCTAGCATGGAGGGTTCCATCGTGCGTCTTCCCCAGATCGTGGCTCTAAAGAAGAAATACAAGGCTTACCTCTACATAGATGAAGCTCACAGCATTGGGTCCCTGGGCCCAACCGGCCGGGGTGTAGTGGAATTCTTTGGAATGGACCCTCAAGATGTCGATGTGTTAATGGGCACATTCACCAAAAGCTTTGGGGCCGCAGGAGGTTACATAGCTGGAAGGAAGGTAAGAAGGGACCCCTTGTGACTATGTAAAACCTGACATCTCAGGGGATGCAGTCTTCAGGGCTTCTCTGGATTCCGTGAGCACTTAGGTTCCGTTCGCCACACCTGGAATGATCACTGTGGCTTCAGGACGATGGGTTTATGGCCAAGTAGCACCCAGGACATCAAGGAGCTCACCCTCTGACAGTGTAGAGGAGCCTGTGATGAGCAACCACAACATAATAAAATGGCAAAACTAGCGGTGTTCACAGGCAAAAACTGAGTGCCCATGAACACCACACGGAGAGGGATGATTAACTCTACAGGGCAGTGTGGAAGAAGTTCTAGAATGAATGCCAGCCTTATAGAAAAATGATGTGGGATTATATTTCTGTGTACCAAACCATAGAAACGATGAGGGGATGGTACAGAACTATAAGTAGTTTGGTTTTTGTAATGTGAAAACACAAAGCAGGTAATAGCAACTACGGGCAAATGTCAGATATTAAGGAAGTGGACTCTATGCTATAAGTCGTGGGTTTTAAGTGTTTTAATCAAAATAAAAGTAGCAAGATTAGAACTGTTCTTTTAAGAGATTTTCTCTGAGGAATAATTCTCCCTCACAATTTTGAATAAGCCATAGGTCAAATTTTGTCATCCTCTAATATCTTATCTGTATGCCTTAAAAATTCTGATCTGATGAGATCAGACTGTTAAGTAAATGTTATTCATGCAATTATAGCGCCAATATCCCCAAGGAAGTTGCCAATATAAACCAATAAATGTTTAAAAGAAATTTAAAAGAAGAGGGAAGCACAAAAACAAAATGAAATATTCAAACTTGGGTTTGAGGGATAAAAGAAACAGTTGTCTGCTCCATTATATGACAGTTTTATCCAAATCCTGAAAGCTATGTCACACAGGCCTACACCTGTTCCAAAGTGCACGACAGTGGTGTTAGCTCCACCTGAGGAAGCACAGCAAGTCCCAAACCTGTCCAGTGCTTGCCCATGGCATCAACAGCTTACCTAAAATTCTCAATTCCTTACTCATTGTGACCAGCAGGAACAAGAATTCAGACTCCTGGTAAGCCAGTCAGACAAACTAGGAATACAACTAAAAACAGTCTAGTCATTGAAACCACGTGATTTAAAACAACAGATTTCATTGTGGCCACTTGCCCAGCTATGAAGTACAAAAATGCTTCAACTGTTCAGAGTTTTCGACGGTCTTTACCTTTCGATAAGCACTACTTTCTTCCAAACATTGTTTTTCATCCTGTAGCATTTAGCTGGGTAATGCTAAAACCATAGGGAATGCCCAGGATCCTACAAAATTCGGCTAAATCTAGTGCAGAGTTAAATGTTCCCTTCCTCAACTGTCGAAGCCATGGGATCCGGGGGTCTCAGATATAGGAGCTCCCTTCTTCAGGCTGCAGTGCTTTGTGAGCTTGTGGTTTTGTGATTACTTTAGCAGCAGCTCTGAGCTACAAAAATTTTAACCAAGCGTAACTCTGTTTCCTGAACCAAAGGCACCTGAATAAACTGAAGCAAGCAGATCTTTGAAATACTGTCAAATTTGGTAGATGTCACATTTTTCTTAGAGTTCCTTCATTTGATACCTACTTTAAACAAAGGCTTGTGACTACCCCGAAGTCAAGGACCAGCTCACAATTTTCTTTCACACCCTCCATTCTGAAATCAGACCATTTTAAAGGTGTATTTGCTCTTGTCTACAAAACTTCTGTTCACTTGGGGTGAGCAATTGTGAAAATTGTTAGTATTTACATTAATCAGGGTGCAGAAAAAGTATGCAGATCTGTTCATTTTCTTGCTCTTAAAATAACTCATTCTGTACATACTCGGATCCAGAGGACTGCATCATTCCTCCTTGTCCTTCCCCTCCCACTTCGCCCTTCCTTTCTCCTCTCTTCTCATGTTACTCTGCAGTCTCTGAATTTACCACTAGATGGCAGCAAAAATTGGAGAGTGTTTGGCAGAGATCCACCAGCCTATGCAGAGACCTGCTCTGATACAGCAAGATGCAAAATCCTAGAAAACAGGGACATGAAGGGTGAGCAGGAGGTAGGAGGCCGCTTGAGAAAGTGCCTGTATGGATCATTCTCTGTCAGGTTCACACCTGTCTGGAATAGTTTTGGTAAGAGCAATAAACACAGATAAACCTTCCAGGTTTATAAGCCCAGCAGTTAATAGAACTTTGTATCTGCTCCTCTGTACTTTTAATTTTTTTAATTAAGTTAATTTTAAATTATGTGGTTTCAATTTAAATCACAGTTTTTATTCTCCTAGACTGAATAATTTGTATAGAATTTTCACTTTAAGTTTATTTTATACTATGCTTTTTAATTGATAGGACATAGGATTGGGCAGATGCTAAAGATATATATTTGAAAAAAATCTTTCCACTTACCTATTTTAATAATTAGAGTACAGTTTTCAGAGTTTCAGCATATATTTTTTTCCTGGGTATTTTGCAGTATATATCTGGGGAAGGGGGATGTTACTGCAAAATATCCAGGATTTTAAACCAATGGGTACAAAAGCAACAAAATAACCCCCCCAAAATTTAACATACACACACTAAGACTTTATGTTTCTGAAACTCTAATAACTTCAATTTTACTATGCTCATGGGGTTTTTTGTACATCTTGAGATTTGAAAATAATTACTTGGGTACAAAAATCTAGAAAAAGATAAAACTAATTGGCTATTAACTCTCTTTTTAAATATCAGTGTTAGCATAGAAGAACTATATTAACAACAACAGTTTCTAGAAAGCTCTAGGAATCTTTATGGAGTCAATCAAGATCAACTAATATACATTAGCAACCGGGTGCATCATAAGAAAAAATACTTGTAAATGAACAAGGGGAGAAAAAAATTCATTTGGCGCTAAGACACTCCCACAGAGAATAGAGATGTTGTCTTGGCCTCAGTCTTCCTGTCACAAATGTCCTACAAATTCATCTCTGCTTATTGGAGTTTAATGCCCTGGCCTCAACATTCTCTCCCCACCCCCCACCTCAAAGAAACTTCTAAAACAGTCTCTAAAGCAAAATTTTGCTATTTTGCTCACTCTGAGTTTGGAGCTGATATAGATGATCTGTGAACAACCTCTCTTAGAGCATTCTGTTCTTTCAAGGCTTTTGAAGTGAAATGTCAGGTAATTACTTCTCTTCACCTGTCAGAGCTCCATGTCATGAATGGCTTCTTTAAAGAATGCCTGAGCTGATGGGCTAGGTTTCTTTTTTTATTTTTTAATTTTTATGAATCCAGTTGCTGAGGAGATGGGTCAACGTTGCAAATCCAGTTTTGTAGTCCAGGTTGTTCTCAGGAATGGATCCTGAGTCCTCTTACATGCTTAGCTAAACACTGGCTTCCACAGCCTCCACAGGCTGACCAGGGGCTTGCAAATGAATGAAGCACAGGTAGCCTTCATAATCGACAGGTTACAGGGCTGAAATTCTGGAGGAGAGAAGTGGGGCAGAGCAGCCAAGTTTGGGGTGAGCATTAGCCCCAGAAGCCTGTGTGTCATACAAAGGCAGGCCCCTTGCAAAAGCCAGCTGTGCCCTGTGTGCTCAGCCCTGGCTTTATTTAACAGCCCTTTGAAGTAAATGGGGGTCATGGAATGAATGCCAAGATGTTTATTCTAAACGTCCCCTGTCTGATTTTCTCAGAAAAGGCACCCTTGTCCTTGAACTACAGGCCTATGGGTAGAGAAAATAATCAGGATTTTGAACTTACAAATGGACTTGGAAACCTCGGTCTGAGGAGACCTCTAACCCACTCTGAAGGAAGACACAACCCAGACTCTCTTTGCAAAACACCAAAGCCAACTCTTAATCCATGGCTCATGATGCCCAATGGGGGAATGCTAGGAGAGAATTAAAAACCAGGAAACAAGGCTTTCCTTGATGGTCTGCAGAAGTTGCTTGAAGAACCCCACTTTACAAATCACACAAGCAAATTAGCTTCGGTCAATACACTCAGATTTTGATAGAAAGTAGACTCAGTCTAATAGAAATAAGATTATGAGCAAGATAAGCTTAATATTAAAAGGCAGTGATATAGCACTGATGAGGCATTTATTCAAACTAAGAATTCACACGATCTTGGCCTTATAAAATTTCTCGATTTGGGAAGGAAATTTGGGGGTGGGGACATTGAGAAGAGCCTGGTAGGGATCAAAGGCAGCTTTGTTTTGTTTCTTTGTCTGATCTTTGTCAGCAAAGTCTCAAGACTAAGAGAATATTGCTACATTTTTTCCTAAGAATGTAGGTTGGTATCCCCATATATACTTCAGGGACACTCCACGGTCCTGCCTCAATCCCTAAAACCCCTCTATTCTCCATTAAACAATAAGTATTTACTGGACCCCAGCTAAGTACCCACCATTATGGATTTCAGAGAAGTATAAAATTCCATTCCTAGATCTCAAAGAAGTTTCAGCTTCTTTGGAGAAATAAGATTAATAGACAGAAACATTTGAGACTAATGTTTTTTCATTTCTGATTTAGTGCTATAAACACTGAGTATATAAGGAATTCTCCCTTCCTCCCAAAAAGAGGAACAATCTCTGGGGGTTAAGAAAAGCACCAGAGGGTTAAATAAAGGTGAAGATGGTCTTCTCTGTGCCCTCCTGGTCCTTCCTCATCTAGTCTAGAAACATAATATAGCGTAGTGCTAAGGGTAGGGAACCTGGAGCCAGACTCTTTAGACCCAAATCCTTGTGATTCAGCCACTTTTTGGTTGAATAATTTTCTGATCTTTTCTGTGACTCAATGATCCCATCTATGAAATAGAGATCAAAATAGTACCTACTTCATAGAATTATTCTGAAGCTAAAATGTTTAACACATGTAAAGTTCTTAAAATGGAGACTCAAGCAGCCAATGAATTTCAGCCATAGATATATCAATGGCTATATCAGCTATGTTATCTCTTCAGAGTCATGCAATCTGTCATTGAATCTAGGTACTTCTTTCTTTAAAATGCCTCTTT